CAGGTAAGCCATCGCATTTGAACCATAATCGTGAAAATGGATAGAAGTGGTGACAAAAATATCAAAACTGAATAAATGAATGAATCAATAACATTGAAAAAAATGATGATTTATAATGATTTACAATATTTACATTATTTGCTCCCTCCCGTGTTCTTGAAACATCTCTCCATATGAGTAATCATCATGGAATTTCTAGGATTATTCAATCTAAAGGTGTATATTGTTCTTATCTGGCTCTTCATGACAAGGTATATCGCATCTAGTTCTTATCTAGTATTGTTCACATATGGCTCATAAACTGTCGAGAATAAAAATAAGCCATAGACGATAGGCATTTTAAATGTATCAAGGAAATGCATTTCTACACAAAATTTTTTACTATAAGCGGTTTATATTACAACTACATCATTCCAAAGACAGTATCTGAATTTCGAAGAAAAATAATGATATAATCAAAGTGTTAACAGAACACACTACTTCAAATAAAATGTTAGGAAGAGAATTCCCTAAATACTGGAAAGACATAACAGCTACTTTTATTGAGAAACATACAGTAATATGGCTGCTCTTTCAATGAATGTTAAATATTTCATTGTAAGACAAAGAATAACATGTCCATTACGAATAGCATTGTCTATTTTTTGGTATATTAGAGTAAGATGACGTATGAATGTCATCGAATGTCGTTTGTCAACCATACGGATTAGACTGCTGGCGATTGCGTTCAGCCTTCATTTGTCACCAATTCGGCTTACAGTTGACAGGTGATGATTGTGCACAGTCATTGAATGTCATTTGTCATACATACGGAAGCCAGAAGACAGCCGATGATTACTCATATCCATCGAGTGCTATTTGTCATACATACGGCAACCGGAAGACAGCCGATGAGAGAGTTCCGCAATAATTTGTCACCCATACAGCTTGCAGGAGGCAGATTAGGATTGTACTCAGCCTTCGAATGCTATTTGTCTCAGTACGGTTTACAGGAGGTAGCTGATGATTGGAGTCAACAATCAAGTATCATTTTCACCTATACAGTATCAAGTGACAACTGATGATGGACCAAATCATCATTTGTTCTCTATAAAGCTTTCAATAGACATATGATGAGTGTACACAGCCACCGAGTGCCATTTTATTGTCCATATGGCTTGTGAGTGGTAACCCATGATTGTGCTCCTCTATTGTGCAATTTGTCACAGATATGGCTCATGATGAACAGCTTGGGCACAGCTATTGTCTGTCATTTGCCATCCATACGGCTTTCGACAATCAATGTATGACTGTTTATCATTGAATGCCATTTGATACCTATACCGCTTCTGAAGTTGTTTATTGCTTTTTAGCAAACCTGTGGCATTTGTCAGTCATAAAGCGTATAGGAAAGTAGTGATGTTTGCGAACAGCTATCATTTGTCACTCATACGGCTTACGGGAGTGTCGTAACTTCAGAAGGGTTACTGAATGAGGAATAGCCAAAACAGAGGTTAGAAATGAAATGGTAATCTTTATAACATCAATAAAATACAATACTCGCCAGCGGCGTGAAGTAGGTAAACCACTGCTAGTGGTGGACTACTTAGACAGCATATTAACCCCACTTACAATAGTGTACAACGTATTTATGAGGATTGGGACATATCCATTAGTGTTCATAGTTACAGTGCATAAGATGGAAACAGATGATGATTGGTCTCCGCTATCAAGTGTTATTTAATGATGTGAGAAAGCTGATAACTGTCCTCTGCCGTCGATTGACATTTATCATCCATGAAGTGTACAAGAGACAGGTGATAATTAGTCTACACCATCGCACGCCATTGATCATATATACAGCGTACGAGAGACATCTGTTAAGTGAGCTCTGCCATCGAGTGCCTTTTATCACACATACGGCGTACGGAAGACTACCGATGATTGTACACAGCCATTGGGTGCCATTTGTCAAACATACGGTTAGGGGGGAGTTAATGATAATACACAGACAACAAATGCCATTTTCCCCCACATAAGGCATACGAGAAACAGCTGATGATTGCATTCAGTCCTAAATCATTTGATTTACAGAAGACATTTTATGATTATGCTCAACCATCGAGTGCTATTTGTCAACCAATCGGGTATACTAGAGTCTGTTTATGACAGTACTCTGTCATCAAGAGTCACTTGTCAAAAATACATCTTACGAGAGTCAGCTTATGACTGTACTCAGCTGTCGAGTGTTATTTGTCACTAATAAGGGGCACGGGAAGCATCTGCAGATTGGGTACAGGCTTTGAATGATATTTGTCCGCAACGCAGTGTACAGGAGACAGATGATCGTTGCGCTCGGCCATCATTTGACAAGTATACGGTTTACGGGATATAGGTGGCAATTAATTTCCGTCATCAAGTGCCATTGATTGCCCATTCAGCGTATAGGAGACATCTGATAAATGAGCTCTGCCGTCGAGCAACATGTCACACATACGGCGTACCAGAGACGTCTGATAACTGTACTCTGCCATCATGTGTCATTTTCCACCCATACGGCTTACGGGAGATGGGTGATAGTGAGTCCCTGCCACTGAGTTTCATTGTCCACCCATACAACGTTCGACAGACATCTGGTGCCATTTGTCAAACACACGGCCTAGGAGAGACTTTCTATGATTGCGCACACCTGTCGAGTGGTATTTTAACCCATAAGACTTGTGAGTGTCAGCTAATTACTGCGCATAGATATCCAGACACCCATACAGATTACGAGAGGGAACTAATAATTATGAAAAGACATCGCGTACCATTTTCACACATACGGCATACGGAAGACAATTTATAATTAATCTCAGCCATCGTTTGTCATCCATATAGCGTGCGAGAGACATGATGACGTGCTCTGTCATCGATTTCCATTAGGCAAACATACGCCGTTCGGGAGACTGCCAATTGCGCAGAGTCATCGACAAGAATTTGTAACCCATAGAGCGGGCCAAGTGTCATTCACTAATTGTGTTCAGGCTTCGAGTGACATTTGTCACCCATCCTACGTATGAACATAAACTATAAAATCTAAAAACAGTATCTGGTATAACAGCATCATACGCCTTCCAAAGGCATACACTGATAATTTCACTCAAGATGCTGGATGCAGTTTAGATAAACAACCAAATAAGCTTAGCGACAGTGTAATATGGTGTCATGATGACGCAAAAATGATGTGTCTTTGAAGGTGCGATTATTGGATTTGGCTTGGTAAGCTTTTTTTTCACGATATATCGACTTCTTATGAATCATTTAATGTCGAATTTTTATTTTCGCGTGAGGTTTGATATTTTTTTCAATTTTTCAGTAATTTTTTACGATGAAAATGTATTGCTGGTAATATTTGTAATGTAATTTTATATGTTCATGTTTATGACACCAGTTTGAGGATTCCCTATTTGCCCATAGCTGGGACTCAACCACCTTAGGTCAGGGTGGACCTGGTAACAACAATAATTAAGAGCTTGTTCCACGCCCCTCAAAACCTCCTGGTCAGACGCCTTGCTGCTGGAAGTAGTTTATCGTCATACCCAGGAGGAGAGAACATAGGAATAAAATATATTAACAAACATATTGTCACTTGTATCCCGCAAATTTTAAGAAAGAAGAATTCGGACAAGTCCTAAATATTGCTGTGCTGTAACACATTAGAGATACGCAATTTAATTAATGCAATAAATCAGATATAATTAAAATAGACATTATGTAAAATTCAACAACAGTAGTTAACAATACAAAAAATTAATGGAGAAACTAACAAATACAAAGAAATGAACTAACCGGTTATCGCTCCTCACTTGTCATAACTCGGACGAAAAAAAGGAAACATGAAGAAAAAATACACACGTATAAATAATATATTAATACGGATATATATATATATATATATATATATATATATATATATATATGGACAGATATCGCATACCATTTTCATCATATTTTTTATATATATATATATATATTTATATATATATATATATATATATATATATATATATATATATATAGACAAATTATACTAAGTCCTAACAGCCTATCCATGTTTCATGTATAAGGACGATTGTCTTGGTTCAATACAAATTTTGCGTTGTCATCTATAGTATTTTCTATTCTTTTTTTTTTTACTTTTCATATTATGTAGTTTTAGTTTACCTTTTGTCCCTTTTAGCTATGTACGTTTTATGGAATTTTATTTTTTTTTTTTTTTTTTTTAGATTTCAGGCATTTGGAGGGGGACGGCGAAATTATTGATATGACAAAGAATGTCATTTTATTTGTCATTTTCTGTGAACTGACACGACTACTTCGGAAATGTAGAAGGGTGATGTTCTGCGGCTTTCTCAAATGTTTAAAAGTTCCGAAAAATTTGCATACGTCTTCCCTTACATCCGGATTTGCAAATCTAATAATTGGGAATATGCATTATCTTTCCGATGGAATATGGTCTCAGTTTTGAACGGATGACATAAAAGAAAATCTCGAGACAACAAGATCGTAATGACAAGGAATGATTTATTTATCGTCTGACAAGAATATGGATATAAAATTCGTTTATAAAGACAGAGACTGCCAGAAGAGGAAGACGGTGTTCAAGAAGGGCTGTCTGGAGATTTTGTAGCGTGAAGGATTGCAAAAATATATGATTTAATATTGAAAGTACAATGCTCATATATATTTAAATATCTTATTAGGGGTTCAAAATCTTATTAATGCAATAAAAACGGCCATAAATAAAACGGACAAGAAGAAAACTACAACCACAGTAATTATCAATACAAAATATATGATGCAATTAGCTAACCGCTTATCGCTCCGCACAAGTCAGAACTCGGACGAGGAATTTAAAATATTGCTAATATTGACTTAAAAAAAGAAAACATATCTGCTATATCTATAGATAGACAAACTAAATCCTTGCAACCACTACTTTAACTTTGCGTTAGAATGGTTGTGGTTGTTGTCTCGAGTTATTTTTTGGGGGGGGGGTATGTCATCCGTTCAAAACAGAAAGAAAGAAAGAAAGAAAGAAAGAAAGAAAGAAAGAATGCAAAGTGAGCAGGCCATCTGAGAAAACCGCGATTGCCAATTTCACGACGGGTATTGGTAGTAAAAAAAGAATTGTTACCATATAACCTGTATTGATGATATCATACAGCTCGGTAAGGTTTTAAGCTCTGGTTACCACGATGGAAGCCATTTATAATTTTGAATAACAGCACGACATCTGTTTATTTAGAAAAAATATTTTATTAAATAAAATATCAAAACTACTTTATAGTATTCAAATTCAAGGAACGATTGGATGGTGAAAGAAAATAATAAAACGAGGAAAAGAAACAATAAGAAAGCACTAAGAAATAAGGAAGGAAAAGTAGTATCAAAGAAAGAAACAAACAAACAAAGGCTTTGAAGAAAGAAAGAAAGAAAGAAAGAAAGAAAGAAAGAAAGAAAGAAAGAAAGGCTTTAAAGAATGAAAAATGGCAATGAAGAAAGAGGGAAAGAAAGAAAGAAAATTAATCAAATTAAAGAAGAAAAGAAAAACGAAAGGAAGGAAGCTGGGGAAAGAATTAACGAAAGAATGGTAACCTTGAAAGAAAGAAAGAAAGAAAGAAAGAAAGAAAGAAAGAAAGAAAGAAAGAAAGAAAGAAAGAAAGGCTTTAAAGAATGAAAAATGGCAATGAAGAAAGAGGGAAAGAAAGAAAGAAAATTAATCAAATTAAAGAAGTGAAGATAAAAGAAAGCAAGAAAGCTGAGGAAAGAATAAACGAAAGAATTTTAACCTTGAAAGAAAGAAAGAAAGAAAGAAAGAAAGAAAGAAAGAAAGGCTTTAAAGAATGAAAAATGGCAACGAAGAAAGAGGGAAAGAAAGAAAGAAAATTAATCAAATTAAAGAAGTGAAGATAAAAGAAAGCAAGAAAGCTGAGGAAAGAATAAACGAAACAATTTTAACCTTGAAAGAAAGAAAGAAAGAAAGAAAGAAAGAAAGAAAGAAAGAAAGAAAGAAAGAAAGAAACTGAAGGAAGAATGAGAGACTAAAAGGAAATTAATCAAGTAAAAGAAGTAAAGAAAAAAGAAAGGAAGGAAGCTGCGGAAAGAATTAAGGAACGACTGGTAGCTCTGAAACAAACAAACAAAGGCATTGAAGAAAGAAAGAAAGAAAGAAAGAAAGAAAGAAAGAAATTGAAGAAAAAGGAAAGAAAGAAAGAAAATTAATCAAGTAAAAAAAGTAACGAAAAGAAAAGGAAAGAAGCTGAGGAAAGACTTAACGAAAGAATGCTCACCTTACAAGAAAGAAAGAAAGAAAGAAAGACTGAAAGAAAGAAAGAAAGAAAGAAAGAAAGAAAGACTGAAAGAAATAAAGAAAGAAAGAAAGAAAGAATGGAAGGCAAGTAAAAAAAAAGAAAGGAAGAATAAATGAAAGAATGATAGCTTTGATCGAAGAATTGTAAAGAAATTTGTAGCAAGGAAAAAAAGGATCGAAAGAAAGACATGGAAGAATGAAAGAAAAATTTAGATAGCTAGATAAGCAAAAAATAGCGTGTGAGAAAAAATAGATAAAATGAAAAAATATTCCGAAGAAAATCAGAGGCAAAACATAAAAGAGTTCATCTAAAGAAGGTTTCGCTTTCAAAAGAAGCAAACAGCAAAAACGAAGAGCAGGAACAAAGGCGCGATAAAAATCCAACAAAGCAACGAAATTGCGTCATGACAAAAAAATCATTAAAACTTAATGAACACTGCAGCCAATTAGACGTGATTAACAGAATCCGTCTGAAGGCAATTTTTTTCCTTATTCTACAAAGAAAATGGACATGAGAGAATTTTTCCTTTTGCACACAGAACGTGTTTGTGGAGTCTTCACAACATGGCGACCAACATGATGATGATACGAAGAGGGCAGAAAATGTAAAGTAGACTGTGGATGCTTAGATCACTACTTTCTGCCTGTCATAAATGATAATAAATATAACAGCCATATTGTCTGGGCAGTTTAGTATATTAATTAAAAAATCTACAACCTGGTAATGGAAAACTAATAAATAATACTGAAAAATACCTTACCGATGCTTGTTTTATGCTGTTGGACCTCCGTTAAAAAGAAACGGTGAATACTGATACTAGAATCAAAAAGATGGTTCTCGAAGATAGAAAACAAGCCTTCCTGATTGTTGAAGCTTGGATAAGCATGGAATAATAATAATACAACACAAAATGTACGTAAACAAAATGTATTGAAACAAGGAAAAGGTACACAATATTTACAGTTAGTTTTGGTATATTCTTGGGAAGACTGTTCCTGTAGAATGGGTTGACTTAATCGCAGTCGGGCAGAGTCTCTGGATTGGATCTCTTCTTACTTCCTCCATCGTCTTCCCGGTACCAACCCATATTTATATGGTCGGTACTCCACTATGTAAATTAGGTGGATCGTACCACAACACTGATATTTCCATTTTTACCTTATTAATATAATGAAAAAATTGGTGGTAGTGGCTACAATATATCAAAAACGAACATTTTTATATATTTATATATTTCAATCAATTCCCACCAAGCAAGGCGATTATGCCACTAAGACGCAAGGGACTACCCAGCGTCAAAATATTTTTGCGTACCCCACTTGGCTTTGCCATTAAAAACGTCTATAGGTGGAAGACCTTCAGCCTAAAAAAAGGCGTGCATTTCTCTCCATAGCCTCTTTTACAACTTTTCTACTCTGATTTTAATATGTGGTCGCACGTCAATAAAGAGTCCCCAAATGGAGTACGTCCAAATCATGCTTTTCTCTCTTGACTGCTGTACTCTCTCACACATGTTGTTGCGCAGATGCATAGACACACCCATACACAGAAACAAACAAGCTCATTATTATTATAGCTAGTTTCATGTGTTTTTTTTACTTTCGTCAAATGGAATTTGTTTTTGTAAATACATACATTGTCGTTTGTTTTATATTTGTTGTTTTGTGTTAATCATTTTTTTTTACCTGGCCTCATATTGATTCTGCCTATGTTATTTGTGGGATAAATTTTCCAGGAGGCCGTAAATATTTACTCTCTGTTAAGTGTTGATTCCCGCAACGTAATGATGACTAAATATTTACCCAATCATGCTAGCACTTCCGCAAAAAGGAAAACAGGAAAAAGATTATAAACTTCTACTTCTGTTCAAAAGACCGGCGAGGAGCGTGATCCGGACGATATAAAACTATATTACACAAAGATAAGGAAGAGTCATGGTAAGCGAAACAAATGTATTGCTCATAATGAAATGGTGAATCGAAAGATATAACCAAAACAAAACAAAAACGATGGGGCTAGCTGATTATTGGTCGAAATTTTCGCTGTCTGTGATTTATATTGCTGATTATCAGGTAACTACTTTTCTGTCACCCGTTTCTTTTTTGTTAGTCATGTTCCATATAATTATATATTTTGCTCTCGAGTGAACTCTGAAGAGTGAGCAGCGATAACCGATTAGACTTTTTTTCTTTTTCTATTAGTTTTGTGATCTGTCTATATTTCTGAGATGAAGTATTATATACACTATTTACATTATTCGGACTATTGTCCTCATCTTTGTAGCCATATTTATCACCCTTCAGTATCTGTCTATATATCTGAGATTAGGTATTATATACACTATTTACATTATTCGGACTATTGTCTTCAATTTTGTAGCCATATTTATCACCCTTCAGTATCTGTCTATATTTCTGAGATTAGGTATTATATGCACTATTTACATTATTCGGACTATTGTCCTCAATTTTGTAGCCATATTTATCACCCTTCAGTATCTGTCTATATTTCTGAGATTAGGTATTATATACACTATTTACATTATTCAGACTATTGTCTTCAATTTTGTAGCCATATTTATCACCCTTCAGTATCTGTCTATATTTCTGAGATTAGGTATTATATACACTATTTACTTTATTCGGGATATTGTCCTCAATTTTGATATATTGTTATGTAGTGGTTTCACAGTGGAGGCTTGCATTTTGTACTAAGTCGGTCCTAAAATAGGTTCGACGTACAAAATGTTAGGAACTTGATATAATAGGTAATGATGCAGTAATCTAGTTGTGGTCAGTGATACTTTAATATCCGACTAACGGTCGTCCGACATCGACTGACTGACCAACTCACTGCCGACTCCCTGAGCGGCTGCTACTACTACTCCTACTTATTATAGGTGGGAGAGTCTATTAACTATAGAATAGGTGTGTTCTATTGTAACATATATATATCCAGGTGCGATGAGAACGAATAGAATACAATTACAACGAACGTTCGTAATATTTAATTAAAAGAGAGCATAATACGGAGTAGAGCAATATTATTTCTTTTAGGATATTACACCGAAAACATGTAAAAATCGTTACACAATTGCAGTGGAGTTTCAATGCATATCAATGCAACTCATCATGCGATTGTAAAATTACTGGCTAGTAATTTTACAATCGCCTGTTGGGCAATTTTACGATCGCCTGATTCCCTCCGCCCCCTCTATAACGTTTTTACCTATATTAATTATAATTCATAAAATTTCCCTACTCTGAGTTTTACCCAACTCTCTCTTCATTAACCCCTTACATCCTTTTTATCTATATTTTTTCAAGTTATTTTAAAACCCGTTTTATTCCTTTTTTAATTTTAATTAATATTTCATTCTTCATATCACACCAAATTAATGTGATAAGTTTATTAATATTTGAGTTTAATTTTATAAAGATTCTTCCCTTTAAGACAAATACTTTCCACCCTCCCCTGAGGCAAGTGTCGTGCCTTTCGTCTGACTGAAACATTGAAATGGATCAATTCTGGATTACCTTTTCGATTTGTGTTTATATATATATATATATATATATATATATATATATATTTCTGACAAGAACTCCGTCGACACGGGGGGTGATCAGACAGACGACCGATATCGACTGCTGAAGTAGGCAATTCCCCATATGAGTTGATTTTGTATTTTATTGTTATATAACTATGTTGCTCTTTAATAATAATTACATTGAGCCCTTTTGGCAGATCAGTTTCAATATTTTATATTACTAGAATCCACTTGGATTATATACCAACGGATTGTTATCATGTCATATGATATATGATATCATATCATATAATATGTACTATTGCATCATATCATATGACATATAAAATCATATCATATATATATATATATATATATATATATATATATATATATATATATATGATATATATATATGATATATATATATATATATATATATATATATATATATATATATATATATATATATATATATACATATATATATATATACATATATATATATACATACATACGTATATATATATATATATATATACGTATACATACGTATATATTTGTATAATTAGGCAGCAATCCTTCCTTTATGCATGTTTCGTTAAAAACGACTGACAAGGTACTACAGTTGAGCTTTTTATTTAATTTTTCTTGTGTTCTGACAAGAGCTTTCTTTTCTGGACAAAGAGTGTGTAAGAACTGTCCGAATGTTCTGTGTTTCCGAGCGCTTTCGGCTATACCTTTAGCCATTATCAAGGATGGTTCAATGATGGATATTCATTATCAAGTAGAGTGTGTGTTCTATGTATGTTCTGTGTGTGGTAGTAATAATAAAAAAGAAAAAAACCAACTCTTAACAATATCAATTATGAACAAAGCCACAATGTGCTAACTGTATTCGGAAACTAAAACATCACTACCACACACTGAACATACATAGAACACACTCTACTTGATAATGAATATCCATCATTGAACCATCCTTGATAATGGCTAAAAGTATAGCCGAAAGCGCTCGGAAACACAGAACATTCGGACAGTTCTTACACACTCTTTGTCCAGAAAAGAAAGCTCTTGTCAGAACACAAGAAAAATTAAATAAAAAGCTCAACTGTAGTACCTTGTCTGTCGTTTTTAACGAAACATGCATATATATATATATATATATATATATATATATATATATATATCATGGACTCTCCTGTCGGTTTCGATGTATGAGGATCTGACAGCTTATTGATTCAGTTATGAAAGTTTGTGCGATAATCTTAAGTGGCATTTAAGACCCGCTAGTGATTTACAAAAGAAGGCCACATATGGAGCAAGGATGCATCTTTATATATATATATATATATATATATATATATATATATATATATATATATATATATGAATTGGATCGTGGTCACCAATTCATCAGACCTACAAATTCAAAAAGCACTAATATTATCTATCTATCTATATATATATATATATATATATATATATATATATATATGAATTGGATCGTGTAGGTTCATCAGACCTACAAATTCAAAAAAGCACTAATATTATCTATCTATCTATCTATATATATATATATATATATATATATATATATATATATATATATATGGAAGAGCGTACACTGCTGGTGAACCGGAAGTCATCCACGATTGGACAATAAATTGCCAAGAAGAGCCGTATGGTGTGCATTTCGGAAGATGAAAAAAAGTTGTAATTAACACGAAGATACACAAGTTGATACCCGATGAACATCGGCTGGGTTACCGTGGAGAGGCGGTATGATGTTGAAAGTCCCGAAACTCAATAATGAACCTCGGGTTGAAACATCACTGATGATGTGAACTAAAACCTTCAATAGATGTATTTTACGAAATATATCATATCATATGTGACTATCCATAGTTTTACGCGCCTATTTAATTTTACCGCTCATGAAAACAATGACACATATATGTGCTAACCTGTGTTAAAGCCGGGGTATGTCTGCTAATATATGTAGCTATCTTATTTATAGATTCTTCTTCTTACCAAGCCAGTGGCATAAAATGAAGACGCAATATCAACGGTTGATGTTGACGTTCAATATACTGACATGTTAAAATTGTGTCATGACCCACGTTGAAACGAGCCAAATCATTCCGTCGCCGACAAGTATAATGATGATTGATCTTAGAATGTCGTTTACCTTGTAAGTGAAATGGACGCCAGTTTCTACTGGCGCCAGGGTCTGGGAGCGCGTGGCTTTTATGAAAACTCTCCCTTTACAAAAGGCGCAGACATTTAAACTGGCAGACTCTTGTTAGCTTCTCAGACGCTTGCCTCATTTCAGCGGCCTTGTGTCGAACCGAGTTAAAAAATAAATAAAAAAAAAAACGCGTGATATATGGCTCGATGTACATTTAGATGTTCTCCAATTTACCAACGTGTTCCTGTGTCTGTCGAAGAAAATGTTAGTAAATATTGTCGTCTAGAGAGGAAACTACGAAGACATTATCTCATTTGATATGTTCTATAAGCTTATTCTAGATAGTTGGAAAGAGAGAGAGACAGAGACAAACAGAGACAAATAGATAGATAGATAGATAGATAGATAGATAGATAGATAGATAGATAGATATGAACAGACATAGATAGATAGATAGATAGATAGATAGATAGATAGATAGATATGAATAGACGGGATAGATAGTTATGAACAGACATAGATAGATAGATAGATAGATAGATAGATAGATAGATAGATATTATCAGACAGAGATAGCTAGCTACACATAAAATAAACACAATATAGTTCCATAAATAGAAAAATATTACATTATTTAAACTCATAATTACATATATATATATATATATATATATATATATATATATATATATATATATATATATATATATATATATATATATATATATATATATATATATATATATATATATATCACTGCCATAAACAGACAAAAATTAGTTTTATTATTACCACTTATGATAATAAAAAGTCAAAATGAAAAACAGGCTAGCTAACCGGTTTCGAACGTCGCTCAACAGAGCTAAATCGAGGTAAATAGAGTAAATTATATCATAAAAAAAGAACAATGGACAAAGTTTATTGGTGGGAAAAAAAATTAAATGTTAATTAGTTGGGGGCCTAATATAAAGTCTTTCTGTTTACAAAGATAACGTTGGTAATAATAAAACTAATTTTTGTCTATTCATAGCAGTGATAAAATTTTGTAGCATCCCATAATCTGCTCTCTGACAAGCAATATGGTTTCCGCTTTGCCCGATCTACAGCCGATGTGCTCACAGCCATCACTGAAACAGTCTACCGAGCTCTCCAAAATAATGGGGAAGCCCGAGCCGTGGCACTTGACATCTCCAAAGCATTTGATAGGGTTTGGCATGCCGGCCTTCTGCGCAAGTTCCAGGGTTATGGCATTACGGGTCGATTATATAACCTAATACAATCATTCCTGTCAAACCGAGAACTGAAGGTCGTTCTCAACGGATTCTCCTCCAGTTCCTATCTCATGAACGCAGGTGTCCCTCAAGGCTCCATCCTAGGTCCCACTCTACTCCTTATCTACATAAATGACTTTCCTGACGCCGTAACATCCCAAGTAGGCATCTACGCGGATGACACCACAATTTATTCCTGCCTCAAAAACAAATCTAGTCTCGCTGACAAAACTCACCTTGCCGTGCGTCTCGAAAAGGACCTCCAATCGATTGTGAACTGGGGCATAAATTGGCTGGCCAACTTCAACGCTTCGAAGACAAAACTGCTCTCTATTAATCACCACAGAGAGCCTTCCCTTCCCTCCATTAGAATGTCTGACGATCAACTTCTCGAGAGCAACTCTCTACGGCTTCTCAGTCTCACGTTGACTGCTGACCTGAGATGGAATAAATACATCGAGTCAATTGCCTCGTCTACTGCGAGGAAAGTTGGCTCCCTGAGCCGCGCTAGGAAGTTTTTCTCCCCTGAGTCGATCCTCCAGATATACAAATCCACAATTCGCCCTTGCATGGAGTATTGCTGCCATATATGGTTTGGCGCCCCTTCTGTTTGCCTCAGGGTTCTTGATAGGCTCCAGAGGCGGATATGCAATATGGTTGGCCCTGCCCTGCCGTCTCGTCTACAGTCACTTTCTCACAAACGTGCCGTCGCCTCCCTCTGTCTGTTCTACAAATACTTTCATGGAAATTGCTCCGAGGAGCTGCATTCGCTGGTTCCCAGACGTCATGAGTTCCAGCGCCCTACGAGGCTGGCATCCCGCTCTCACCCCTTCACTGTCGAAACTCCTAAATGTAGCCGTCTCTTCTACTCTAATAGCTTCATGTCTCGCACCTCTCGCCTGTGGAACTCCCTTCCCTTCTCCTGTTTCCCTGTGAGCTATAATCTCCAGCTATTCAAATGTAATGTCAATCGACATCTCCAGTTGCCTTAATCTAGCCACTACCCTCATCCTTCCTTCTATCACTCCTATCTGATCTTGCTATTTCCTGTAACCCCTTGCATCCTAGTGGCTTCCAGCCTTGCTTGGGGTGAAACGCTTAAAAAAAAACATATCTTCATATATATATATATATATATATATATATATATATATATTCTCGTGCCGTGAGTTCTTTCTTGAGGGCAGAGCCCAAGTCTAGAGCGGCAAAAGCTCTATTACAGATGCTGCATGGATAAAGCAGGATCTGATTTCTACTGTTGGTCTTCCTCCTGGCATGTTTCTCAATGAGGTGACTGCTATCAAAGACATCGATGCTCTCTTTAACAGTCTCCTTGTACCTCAATTTCGGTCTGCCTAGTGGTCTGTTTCCGTGCTCTAATTGACTGAAAAAAGATTGCTTAGGGAATTCTTGAGTCATCCATTCGATATATGTGCCCCTCCCAACGTGATCATCTAGCTTTCTACGCTGGGTACAACACATCGTTCTAGGACCTCGATATTGGAGACTATCCTGCCATTTAATTCTACAAATGGATCGCGTTGCTGGTACTGCCCAATAAGATTAATATGGCGATGATAGACTATCCATGTTTCGCAGCCATACAGAAGCCTTGTAATAAATTGATTTTCGTTCCCAGTATCACACCATGTTCATTCTATAAGCTTGCTCTCGCAATCCGTTGTGTTACCTTGTCATCTATAGTCACTGGGTTTGACAATATACTTCCTAGATAACAGAAATCCTCTACTTGCAATATCAGCTCTGGTAAAAAAAAAGTGCAATGATAACATCAAAAAAATGCAATATGAGCACTGGTAAAAATGGTTACTGAAATCATTAGGTTTATAATACCCAGAAATTCATACACAGATCTCCTCAAGGACACATGGCACAGTGGATAAAGGCGTTAATTAGATCCAGTGACAGGACCCAAAGAGTGTGAGTTCAATACCTAGTTAAGGCAGTGGAGAACGTGATGATTGAAAACAGGCATTCATTAGTCTACCCCAGTGAGTGAAATAAAGGGTTCAGTTCGACATTCCAACCACCCCAAGAAGGCCGTGCATACAATGGCTAAAACGTCGTAATAAACGTGGCGACAAAAGATGAGGACAATAGTCCGAATAATGTAAATAGTATCCTTTACTGACTTTAGATGAATCGTGTTGATATAGACAAGGGGATTGGTGTAGCTTCTCAGAAGCTGGTTGATACATGACTTCGGTCTTCAAGCCAAATCTTTAGGGCGCCCGGTAATGGATGTTATAAACTTGATCTCTTCCAGGGAGTGAGACACGAGGACGCAGTTGTCGGCATAAAGCAGATCACGAAGTACGAGTTTCAATTCATCTGAGGTTGAAAAGGCCCCCGTCTGACCGGAACTTTTTGTCTCGGTCGTGGAATGCGTCAAGCAGCATAATAGAGAAAACGATAGAGAACAGGGCTGGAGAGAGGACACAGCGATGTTTGGTGTCATTGGTAGAAGGGAATAGATCAGATAATTCCCTGCAATCCTGTACTCTGGCCAGTATCCCCTTATGAAAGGACTAGACTACTGAGATGAACCTTTTGGGCCAGCCGATTTTCTGTACAATCGTCCAAAGCAACTGCGGTTAATCATGTCGAAAATCTTGGTGAGATCGGTAAAGATCATGTAGATTTTCATGTTCTGTTCTGTACACTTCTCTTGAATCTGCCACCTACACCTCGATTCTGATTGTAAGGACTTCTCTACGATCCTGTTTTTAAGAACCCGTGCAAGTATCTTCCCAGCGACTAATAGAAGAGATATAACTCTGTGGTTGTCCCCTATGGTCTGGTTACCTTTTGCGCTTGTACAGATGGACGATGGAGATATCTTTAAAGTCTTGTGGAACGACACCTCTGTTCCAGATCAAAGAGAACAGCTGCTTGAATACCTTCGTCAGGTGAATGTCTCCGTACTTGAATATCTCAGCGGGAATACCATCTACGCCAGAGGTCTGTTTGATGACTATTACAACCTTGCCTAAAAGACGCTAGTCTAGTTCTTCAAGTAATTGCCTTTAGGGAATACACTCTAGGGGCCTCATCTGTCACAATTCAGAATAGTGTTGAAGTGCTCAGCCAATAGCGTGAGAATTTTAGGCTTATCTGTGAGAAGTGTCTCGCCATCGGATAAATAAACTGGTGCACTGTCACTGCCCCTGGGGCTATAAACAGCCCTGAGATCTTCCTAGAACAGCTTTTTGGCCTCCCTATACCACCACGAGTCCTTCAGCTGGCGCAGCTTTCTTTGGAGTAGATGTTCTCAACCAGGGGTAAGTTTACCCCTGGGGGTAAAAAAAATATGTAGTCGGGGGTAAATAATTGAAGTACCTGATAATTTAAAAAAAAACGCCTGAAAGGCGATGATGATATGAGAGTAGCATTATCAGAAACAGCTCATCGCATAAACAAACTGATTGACTCAATGAATCGGCAGTGTTCCCACTGATAATGCTTCTGGTGTTTCTATTCATTATTTTTTGTAATACAAATTAACTTCATAATTTTCTATTTAGAAAAGTTTTGATTTTCTTCTTTTTTTTTTTTTTGATACGAATGTATAATACTATTCTTATACAAAACCTAAAGTCCTAAACAATAAAAAGGTTCTTTCTAACCTTCTTGTTTTTCTCTCACTTTATGACATTGAGGTACAAATGAATGATGGATTACTAATTTTTTGATCAAAATATTGAACTTTTATTAACTTTTAGTATTTATCAATATTTTTTATTTCTGTTTTGGTATTTTTTACTAATGCCTAATTTGCACAATTTTTGTCACAAATTAGTCAGTATTAATCATAATCATTCATTCAAAAAAAATTTTTTTTTTCGTATTTTCCAAAACTTTTTTTAAATTGCCAAAAACAAAAATACTAAAAAAAAATTTTTTTTTTGGCATGAATGATTATGATTAGTATTAATTTTTAGATCTACTAATGCAACGGATAAAATGAATAATTTTTTATTAATGACTACAAACGTTAATAAAATTACTGAATTTTATACAGAGTATTAACTTATACTAAAAAATTAATAGATTAGTACTAATTAAGAAATCAGTATTTTGAGTGTCGCTTAGTTTTTTTTTTTGTTTTTGTTTTTTTTTGGCACAGTATTTTGACTAAAAAAAAACCCTTAGTATTTTGAATGAAAAAATCATTCATTCATTTAGTCACGAAATTGTACATCAATGCTTTATGATGGTTATGAATTTTTTGTAAGGAAGTAGGGGGGTAAATGGAGAAATACATAAAGCCGGGGAGGTCAATGATGGAGGAAAGGTTGAGAATGGCTGCTCTGGACAGTAGGCTTCGCATTGAGGTACGATGAATTTTTTAGCAGTAGACATTTTAGCGTCGATGTAGATTTTGTGCATCTATGGTAGAAATTTTGAGATCTCACTATCGTTTTCATCGAATCAGTATTTGTGCTTGCGTTTGTCAAAGCCCACGGCATCTTCACTGTCAGAATAAGTAGCATCTCTGAGCTGTTCCCATGCTGCCTCCACATCAGCGTCAACTCGTCTGGGAGAACTGCTTCCTCAATATTTTCCTCTAGTTGTTCCTGTTTTAACCTTTCTCTAATCCCTGCAATGTTGAGGTACGAAGAAGTTTCAGTCTAGAGTATGTTATCTTCAGGGACACAGTGAGAGATGCTTTGCTCCTGACAAGCCTGCGGTGAGTCCAGTACTCAACACCTCGGATTGATCTTATCAGTCGAACATCACGGACATCTTTTTCTCGTACGATAATATGGGTGCATCCAGGACGTCTTATACTTGTTGGCCTGTTGAAATATGGTATTTAACATCACCTGAATATGCGTGCTGCAAAACTCAAGAAAAGAAGCCTATTTGCATTCTCCTTCCCTATGCTGTGTTTACCGATCACATTTATCCAGACATTGGAGTCGCGTCCGACCCGTGCAACAAAATCACAAAGTATGATAAGTTTATCCTTCAAAGGTGTTTCTCTGATCACCCTATACAGCTCCTCATAAAAGAATTCTTTCCTTTCACCTCAGTCTGCATGAGTTATAGCGTAGACGCTAAGCATGGTTGCATAACGCTCTTTAGACACTCTTTTGCATACACACGTTATCCTGTCGCTGACGACTTTTTGAATGTTTATAAACATGCAATTAATTTCATTTAATATTAAATTTAAACCGTTAATCTTCTCTGTAAGTCAATAAACACTGCATTAATTGTCATTTAACGAGAGAGTAAATGTTTGGGGTATACCACACATACACACATACACACACACACACACACACACACACATACATACATACATACATATATATATATATATATATATATAGTATTTTTTTTAATTAATTAACATTAATTATTACTACTGTGTATCGAGAACTGTTTTTAAAAATAAATGCTAAAGAACTCTGGATTATAAATATAACGGTCCTTTCTTTTTATTTTGATGCATATGTATATTGATTATATTGGTGAAGGTTTTTGTGCAGAACCCTCCATACTTTTTGAAGGGCCGAATACAGAAAGCTGGTGCACTACGTGCCACAAGGTCCCCAAACACCACTCCGCAGGTTTTGAATTCAGAGTTGTCTTTCCCTTAGACCAGTTGCCTTGGATGGGGAAAGAAGGAGTCTAGAACCCAGTCTGCCCTGCCATTGGTTTATACCAGCGTCTTCTCATACTTAATACTTCTCGTTTTCACTCTCGCGTGGTCATGTGTGACGTCACGAACTGCGGCGCGATTTTCGCTTCCGCGTCTCGTATACACTAGTTAGTCGTTGCTTTGAAATTTTTCACGCAACAAAAGCAGACTATCATTATTGTTTCGTTCGTGTATTGGTTGATATATTGAAAAGTAATTGTCATGTTTGATAATGGCTTATGTAAGCCATAAGCTTAGATTGGTTTTAAACATTTATCAATATGGTGATTTCCTTTCGTCTTTCAATGTTAATGCTATTAAGCTTATCAGACAATATGAAAGGAACTTAATTAAAATAAATCTGTATTATTTAAGGAAATATGCATTAATGAAAAATTGCTGCCTAAACATACACCCTATATATATATATATATATATATATATATATATATATATATACCAGCTTCTAATGCTCAAGTTTGAGCGGCTTGGTAATAGTAGTCGTGGCTCCTGGGGGGGACAGTCCTATGGTTATAGAGAAACTCAGTTGAGTTCCACCACGGAATATGTGAGCGAGCGGGGCTATATTGAGTCTGATTTGTAACCTCTCCGTCACCGATACCCGTTAGAACAGTTGGTATGACGTTTGAATGATAATCTAGCTGTCAGGGTTTCAATTCTCGGCAGTGGATGCGCTCTGCTGATGTTAGTCCCAAAGTATAGGACAAAACGGCCGTCCAGTGCTTTCCGCATTCTGTTGAGGTTACTTCTAGACTCGATGAATTACGTAATTTTGTGTGTGTGTGTATATATATCTTCATTCAGACATGTTTGGCTGAATAATCCAGACAATATTTTTATTTTATCCTTTCAAATTGACGGATCAATTTATTAATATAAAAAAATTTACAACCAACACTAATAAGATTAGTTATAAGTATAGCGATAATGTTATGAATGTCTATAAAAGCAAGATGTTAAATACGTGAATTATATTTATTTTTATATTACAATTATAACAGCAAAATTTTAAAATGCCTAAATTGTAATTCATTAAAAAAAAGAAAAATGACAAATATAATTTAAGTTACCTCCCTTGATAACGCTAACTTTTGAATCAACAGTGCGCGTTTCATCCGTATTTACAAAACAAAAATTCACAACTTTCTATTACCTTCGTCTTTGTCTTAGCAATTCACCCCTGAAGATAATCTTGGATGAGATTGAAAGTACTTGGAAAAGTAAAAGAAATAACCAAAACTTCGGCGTCTTTCTTAATCAATTTAATAATACCACTAAGAAATTGATCCGTGAATTTGAAAGTAGTAAATAAGTATAAATATACATAATATATATCTAGATTATTCAACATATATATATATATATATATATATATATATATATATATATATATATATATATATATATATATATATATATATATATATATATATATATATATATATATATATATATATATATATATATATATATATATATATATATATGTATATATATATATATATATATATATATATATATATATATATATATATATGTATGTATGTATGTATGTATGTATGTATGTCATGCATAGTTCCATGTCTGCATTTAATTAATTCATATTAAATAAAGCTATAATACTAACAGTCAGAAAATGATATCTTTATTTTTATTCCGGTTATTTTCCACTTGGAATCTTGCCGAATGAATTTCATCATTGGTTTAATTCCCTGCCAATTCTTGACACACAACTTGGCCAAAAGTTCATGCTGCAAACTTTGTGAATATAGCATTATGTGCTGTCT